AACACTTTACTTAAATATTTTTCTTTCCTTATTGCCTCCCTGGCTGGCGATCATTTCTGCATCATTGTCCAACATGAAACACAACTTTTAAATCACAGCACGCCACTTCCGAACACATTTGTGTGTCAGCTTAACTCACTTTAACAAGCTAATGCAGTTCTCCTGCTCCCCTCAAAAGCACTTTCATATCTTTGATAAATTTGATTAGATGATTACGTTTTTGAGAAGTCCCTCATAGCTGCAGACAAAGTCCCTGCAAATGGTAGAAAGTGGGTCAGGTGTAAATTGAAGATTTCTATGACTTACCGCTTTTGAATTCTGTCAACATACATTGTTGATATCAGTGCTTTTGAGACAGCGCAGCTACTGAATGAATGAAACCTTAGTAAATGTAGTGATGAAGAGGCCCTTCAGTGAATATAACCCATCTTACTCTACCTACAATTTACAGATGAATCATTGCAGGCTATCATTAAGTGACTGTTTTGGAAAAGGGGCAGTTATGAGGTTATATTCACTGAATATGTGTGTGTGATGTTCAAAACCTGACTGTGCAATTGTGGGATACAGCGTCTTTATAAACTACTCTTCCAAAACAACATGGCCAAATTAAAATTAAACAAAAATCTTCTAGCTGCTTTTGTCAGAAGCAGTTTTTGACCATCAAAACTGGTTAGAAGTTTAATTTAAGCCTTGGTTTTAGGGTTAAATTTAGAATTAAGCTTAGCTTAGGGTCTGCTTAGTTTTGATGGTTAACTTGAGGGGTAACTTGGGATTGTGTAAATGTCCTCCCAAACAAGCATGTTTGCCCCTCACCCTAAGCACAGAGTGGCGCAAGCAACAGTTACTGTAGGTAATATTTCAGCATCAAATAAGAGAACGGGTGATCCAAATGACCTCAAACTTAGCATCACATCAAATTGTTACCCAAGCAACACACTTGCCAAGTTTGAAGCAAATCACGTGTACAGTTTTAGAGATAAGCGAAGAGCAAATAGACGTGGAGATTTCTCCAACTGTTCTCAAACATGTGATGGTGTTCAGCACACAGCAACTTTATTTTACTCTGTTTCTCTGATTATGATTGTGTGTGTGTGTGTGTGTGTGTGTGTGTGTGTGTGTGTGTGTGTGTGTGTGTGTGTGTGTGTGAGGATGCGCATGTACATAATGTCAAGTGGGAGTTCAGACATTCCCCTCCACAATAAAAGCGTTGTGCGCCTCACAAAGCCTTCCCTGTGTCGGGGGCGACGAAGGGGATACTCTGTCTTTATCAAACAGCCTTTAGCGAGTCCTGTGTGTGAATGGTGTTTTTTATGAAAGCACAGGCTCGCTGTGAGGCCATCTGAGACTTCTGAGGATGAGCACAATCCTAAAATATGAGCTGCAGATGAAGTGGAGGGAAAGAAGTCTGACTCAAGCAGCTGGCTTTCTTTTCCTTTTTTCCTACTAAGTGGAGCCTCTTATTCGGAATCTACTCCCATTTCAGCGCAGACATAGTTGGCTCAGAGCTTGGTGAAATTGAGAAACTCATTTTGTTTATTCACACGCGGAAATATTGTGACATTTAAGAGTGTGTGTGTGTGTGTGTGTGAACTGCAGTTTAGCTTGCGTACATGCCAAACCATCTGGCGTGCAGATCCCAGAGGCAGTGGAGGGGATTATTAAACAGACACGGCACAGAGAAGCGCAGCAGCAGTATCATATACACTGTACATCATTACTGACTTCATCTCTTCCAGCTCATCAGTTAAACCACTGCATGGCTAAAAGTATGTGGACACTTCAATCTTACCTCCATAGGGCATTGTTGAATAGTTCATTCTAAAACTGTGGATGCTTTTTGTAAAGTCTGCTCCCCTCTGTGGGAATATACAACACTCCCATTTAGGTACACTGTAAAACTAGCACTCACATTAAAACACTCACATCATAGCAGCTGGATTGCATTAAAAAACATATTTACTGTCGCATAAAATATAAAAACAGAAAAAACAGTTTTTTGTAAAATTACAAGATCTTGTGTATTTTAAGCTTGTTATCTACAATTAAAATTTGCCTTAACGTTTCACCCCATTTGAACCACATTCTATGCAAGAAACAGTCCCTAAGAAAACTGTCCGATGTCCTTTAATGTTAACGAATCAGCTGCTATTTCTGGCACATCAAGAGTATGGCGAACTGACGCTTTCGCACTTCCTGTCCATCAGGAGACAAAATGTTTTGTGTGCGACTCCAGGGAGATGTACGACGAGGAGAGCAACGACATCAGCCACACCATCGAGAACGTGGTCACCACCTTCGCCCCAAACCGCCTCAAGACCTGGTGGCAGTCGGAGAACGGTGAGAGACACAAACGCACTAGAGAAACAAGATGAGGGGTGTTTCCTGTTTACTTTGGAGGGAGAATAGCGTGTGAGCCCTCACAGAGGCCGATCTCATGAGTACTGAGCTCAGTAATGAGCAGACAGGAGATCACAGAGCCTCTCATAGCAGCAGTCCTTATGGGTGGGGCTTACAGGTGTGCTGAGGAGAACAGGTGTGCGGGTAAGAAACAGATGTGTGTCAACACTTGACTTTAAAGTGGAAAAAATGAGAAGCGTGACGTGAGACAGGAGAGCTTTAAGAGCTCCACGGAGAGACAGTTTATAACTGAGAGGTTTTCTCACCTGTAATCACCTGTTTCATTGTTATCCACTGGTACAGGGAGGAGCTTCACAGTGAAGCTTAAAACTACCAAATCCTTCCCAAATGTGAGGATTGTGGTCGTAATTTTTACGATTCCACTCATGATTTTCTTCCACTGACAAAATTACCAGCCAATCTTTTTATTTTGTACCATTTCGATGTAGACAAACCCAGATTCATTAATATGAGACTTTTCTATGAAACCTTATTAATATCACCCGGTTGTGCAAACGTTGTGCATCATTTAAACAAATTGTACTTATTTGGTATGTTTGGTTAATTTTATTGGTAATTGGTCAAACTGGTCAATTATTGCAGTTTGAAATAAAGTTTGGTGGATTTGAACAACTCAAGTTTTTGGGGTTACATGGGAAATGTATTCAGTGCACACAAAACGTCTTCCTGCACCTAAAGCTTTGTTTAAAGTTTGTGTGGATAAAATAAGTTCCCATAGAAGGAAGAAAGTAAGCACAGGTCAAATTTTGATGAATTTAACTCTGATATAATCTAAAATATACACATCGCATACAATAACATGAGAACAAACATATCGTATAATAAGTCATTAAAGTTTTCTATTTTATTTTCTTAAATTTGACATTTTTGTTTGACTTTCTTTTGGTTTTATGAATTCATTTTGCTCTCATGACAGCTCTAGTTTTACCATGAAAGTTTTCTGTGACTTTTCTCAAGAGATGCTTGTGTGAAAACTGGCGAGCCAAGTTCAACATCACTTGTTTGACTCATTCCTCAGTCAGCAACTTACATCACTTCTGGAAGTCATGAATCCTAACCTGTGTCTCAACCACAGAAACAAACGTCTTCTCCAACATACACAAACATCAGTGCACCTGATACGCTGCAGTCAGGTTGTTTAAATATACCAACTTGTGTTTAGTTTGCTTTATTCCAAACAAGCTGGAGAACATTTATATGCAATTCTCTGTGAAATTAAGTCCATGAATCCGCATCGTAAAATCTTTAGCTGGATCCTTCATGGTGATCCCAGTGCAGCTGGTTCCCATGCAGTTGTTCCTGCAGAGCGGTGGGAATCTGTCAGAGGTGTGAGTCACGGCAGAGCGGCGGCCAGCAGTGCAGATGGTTCTCAAACAGCAGGAAGCTGCAGGAGCCACTTGGGATTTCCTAATTCCCCCACAGGAATCTTCCAAGTCCTCCGAGCTGCTGTTTTAAAATCCAAACTCTGCTTTGAATGTTTTTACATATAAAGTTTTGCATGCAAGTAAATTTATGATGTTACTATTGGCTGAGTAACTGCAGCGTAAGAAAGCGAGCTGACTGTGTTAACTTTAACTGCGTAAAAGAGTCGAACGCATGTTAATGCGTGTGAAGAAATCAGTCTGCCAAAAACTTGAAATGTGTATTTCCTGTTTCCTGTCTGCTGCAGGTGTGGAGAACGTGATCATCCAGCTTGACCTGGAGGCGGAGTTTCATTTCACACACCTTATCATGACCTTCAAGGTGCCTGGTTTCCCTCACACACACACACACACATCATACAACTGCTGCCATACCCAGGGCAGGCAGAAAAATACAGTGTTGAACAGCTGTGGTGGGGAAACACTGAAAATCAGTCTCCTGAGAACGGTGGGAAGAGGAGGAGGAGGAGGAGGAGGAAGAGGAGGGAGAGGGCAAGTAAAAGAATGCAGCTCGCCTCTCGTGGTTGCTCGGCTTTGATGGTGGCCAGCTGGAGCTGCCTCTCATCAACTCAGCAGCTCTACGTCATAGTCCAAACACTCTCAGAGACACAATGCACATCCGGCCCATCCAAGACAGGAAAGATCAGCTAATTTAGTTTATTTTAGCTTATTATGTATAAATTATAATTTATTTAAACAGAGAACTATTACAGAAAATGTGCATGTAGGCTATATTTTATTAAAATATTGGTTAAATGCCACTATGGTGTCAAAATCTTACGAAAAAATATTCCAAATAATTTGAAATAAGGTGGGTATCTGTTTTTCACCGTCACATGCATCATATAAAAAAAGTTTTAGAGTGACGTTTTTATATTAAACATAAGGCACACAAACATGTCACTATAAATACCAGATTAAGTAAAGATGCTTAAAAAAACATGGAGATTAAAACATCCTCTCTGTCCTCTGAAGAATCACTCTTACGTGTTAAATTGTTTTTATTTCAACCTTTTTATGTAATAAAAAAAAACCCCAAACACTAGAAAAAATGTTCCCTTATTATGGCTTAATGTAGACGTCTGTAGATTTCCGCCCTGTCTTCAGGCAGAATATCCTTTTATTTATTTTTCATATGTGAGTGATGCAGTGGCCATAAAAGAAACAGTCGTATCAGTTACAGTAATAAGATGCCTGTTGGTCTTTATCTGCCTGCAGACGTTTCGGCCGGCTGCCATGATGATCGAGCGCTCCATGGACAACGGAAAATCGTGGCAGGTTTATCGTTACTTTGCCTACGACTGCAATTCGACCTTCCCTGGCATTTCAACCGGGCCCATGGTCAGAGTGGACGACATCATCTGCGACTCCCGCTACTCTGATATCGAACCATCCACTGAGGGAGAGGCTAGTTTGTGTTTTTTCCCTCCCTCTGAAAACAAACTTTTCCATATTTTTAGTTCTTACCTTTCCCCCCTCGTGTCTCTTAGGTGATTTTTCGAGTGCTGGACCCCGCGTTTGACATTGACGACCCCTACAGCACAAGGATACAGAGTGAGCTGCTTCTGGTTTTAGAAACTCAAACATTTACTTTTGTGACCCTTTAAGATAAAGCTTTCTCTTTTAAAATCTGAAATGGATTCATATGAGTAAATAGATGATTCATGCCAAGTTTGAGGGGAAAAAATCAAATCAATGCAGGTAATTTTACCATTCAGAAGGTAAAAAATCCTGGCAGAAACCAGGCTGTAAATATGCTTACACTGACATCATGACTATTGAGAGGTAAACTGATCATCTCTTCATCACAGCACCTGTTAGCTGGTGGGATAAATTAGGGGCAAGTGAACATTTTGCCCTCAAAGTCGATGTTTTAGAAGCAGGAAATATGGGAAAGTGTAAGGATTTGAGCGAGTTTGACAAGTGATGGCTAGATGATTGTGTCACAGCATCTCTGACTAATAAAACTGGTTAATCCGAAATTACTTAATTGAATGCAGCCACTCTTTTATATCAAATTAGTACCAGATTACAGGAAACTTATATAAAACCAATATGAAACTGATGAAAGATTTAACCTGAGTGAGACTCTGAACGTACCACAGAAGGATACCAGAATGATTTCCTTTAGTCAGCAGTTGTTGAGCTACCTGTAGCAGATCTGCAGGCGTCAGAGATCAGACAGGACCAACACTGGAAAGAATTTCTCAGGTGGAAGCAACTTGGACTTTGTAACTTCACACACTGCCTCTGTTCCTTGATCGCACACACATGCAGTTGGCTCATGTTAAGTACATGGTAACCGCTGTGGGTGTGTAAGGAACTGCGGCGGTATCCTCACGCTCAGAAACTCTGAAATCAGTGAGAAGAAATAAAACCAAAATACTGACTCGTTCATGGACTCTGGTACAGTTTCAGCAGGTCCTCTATTAGTACTTTAAGCTGATGGAATCAGCATTTTCTTTTTAATTTAGTTCGAAAGTGAAATTTAAAAAAATATTACTGTTAATTTTGAGTAAAAGAAAAGTAGAAATGTGGAGATTAAAATTGTTTCGAGTCAAACAACTGCTGCAGTCTGGGACCATTTAGTTTGCATTTTTACTTTCTTCATGGCTGTGAAACTTGAGCATTTTATCTGTAAATCTTTCCGCCTCCGGTCTTATGGAGGGAAGGGAAAAAGTGGAAATATTTCTGTCCAACTTTCAGAATTGAGCATAACTTCAATTAAATAAATAAAGCACATGCAATTTGTCCCCTGAAACCTTGTGTTTAATGTCACAGTGATATAAACTGTGCTGTGTTGTCAAGGAGACTTGCGTGTGTATTAAGGGCTCAAAATGCCCTTGTGCACTCAACACAGCAGGACATCACTGAGCCTTTATGGACAGGAATGAGACTCACAGTTTGAGACTTTAAGGGTTGTGATGAAGAATCTCTTCTGAGTATGTTGCAGGCAAGACAGGCAGCATTAACCTAACACAGCGGGGGAAACTGGAGCTCTTGGAGCAAATTCATGCAGGAGAAGAGTCAAACTCCAAAAGAAGGGTCAGTCCTAGTTCAGACTCTCTTGGTGGGAGGTTGGAGCGCTATACGTGGGGCCAATGTGTCATAGTTTGCAGGAATTTGGACTCACAAGCAAAACTCTACAGGGAGACGGGTTAAACAGAAAGCACACCTTTAATGGTGGAAAAAACAACCGTTCAAAAATCCAAGAAAACAAAAATAGAAATCCAGACTTTTAGAACACATATTGAAAAACAACAGGGAAGTAAACTGAGGAATGTCAAAATAAAACAGGAAATCACCTACTGATACTGATACTACAACCTGAAAACACAAAGACTTTAAATAATAAACAAAAATTCCCACAAAGTTTAAAACTCTGGCGCTCAAGGGCCAGTTCTGTTTGTGCATCCCATTAGTAACCTTACGTTGGGTGCACCAACTGGCTAACTTTAGCCAGTCTGCAGCTTCTGCTGCCTCTGCAAGCCTTTTGCAACCCACTTAAAATATAGTTGCTCTTTTTCTTATTGTTTCTGTGTTAATTTTTATCCCACACAATACTGTT